AGACACTTTGAACTTTGGAATTTTAAACAGTGTTGAGACTATTATACACCACAGGGACTTTTGAAGCTGGACTGAATGCGTTTTTGCATTATGATATGGCTACAAGACTATGGGGTCCAGGGAGTGGAAAGTGATGGTTTGAATAAGAATGACCTCCAGAGGTTCACTTGGAACGTCTAGGGAATGGCACACTCGTGGAACATCGACTGAGACAAGATCTTTATTACATTTTCTCCCAGCACATCTCAACTTCCTTAAACAATCTTTAGGAGAGGAAGAGGAAGAGGAAAAAGGAGAAAGTGACAACAAAAATGAGCTGGACCTGGCAGTAGCCCCAGCTACTGAGGAGGCCGAGACAGGACGGTCATTGGAGACTAGATGTTAAAGGTTAGCTTGACAACACACACACACACACACACACACACACACACACACACACATATACACACACACACATATACACACATACACACACACACACACCTCTCCTCTCAAAAACAAAACAAGTAAATTAAAACTCAATCATCAAATCATGGCAGAATGAAACATAATTCAAAGTCAAATGAATGGGAAGCACATCAGGAACACAGGGGTGAGGAGCCAGGAGCCACAGGTGAGCACACAATGCGTTGTGCAAGGCCTGACACAATTCTCAACTCAGTTTCTCTAGAGCACTGGCCCAGCCGAGCACAGTGACAGCAGAGCAGAGCACACTCAGGAGGTGGAAGCAGGAGAATCAGGACTTCAAGGTCATCACAGGCGCCAAGGTAAGCTGGCGGTTAGCCTAGGCTATGAGACCAAGTCGCAGGCAAGCAAACAAAAGATAGGTGGAACATCGTCCATTACAGGGCCGCTCAGGCCGAGGGAACCCAGGGTCAGGGAGGTGCCATTCCCTCTGCTCTGTGGTATACTGTCTCCAAAGCTCAGAGGAGACCTCTACTCAGAGGTCTGATTCTGTTTTCACCCCATCTAGGCTCTAAGCCAGGGTCTACCCTGGGACTTCAGGGTCCAGTGCTGTGTCCCAGCTTCCTTGGGAACACTCATCCACTGCATGGTGTCACCTTCACTGATCTAGAAAGGAGGACCCTTCATCGAGACCTCTGGAGACTCTTCTGGCCTTGTTTACTTACTCTGTAGCATGAGGACAAATGGAAGACATAGGTAACCAGTAAGCAAGCTCCCGAGGACCACCCTCCATGGTGGGCAGTTATTGCTTGGTGGTAGCCGCAGCATGTTCAGGGGATGGAGACTGGGGCAGGCTGGCCCTGAGACAGGTGGCAGGAAGCCCCGTCTACTTCAAGATTCACCATTGGCACAGAGTCCTGAGAATGCTGTGGAGCGATGCCTACAGGACTGATCAGACCTGCGCCTGAACTCCCTCACTCTTCATTTCCCTGAAGGCGCTAACTGGGAATGACTCTGATGATCAGTAAGGTTGCTACGGGAGGAGGAGGCCGTGGAGCAGAAACAGGACAATCTGGGCAAGTCTCGGCTGTCACACTCTGTAGCTTTGTGGCCATGGGTAGATAGTCAGACCTCCTGGCTCCATTTCTCATAAGCGTTAGCAAATGGGGAAGTTATTGCTGTGGTCAGCAGTAGCAGGTGGTCAGGGTCCTAGAGGTCAATGGGATTTATATCTTAGAGCTAGGCTGCCCACTTAGGTTCCTTGCTCAGCTCCTATTCTGTGTCTCACTTCTTCCAGTAAAGTGGGGCTTGGATGAAGAAACCCCTCAAAGCTCTTTGGTCCAAATAGTCTCACTGTGGGTTTTCAGCATCTCAGACTACAGCACTGAGCACCAGCAAAGATCTCCTGGATGCAGCCAGCCTGTTCTCATCCCCACTTTCTCCACTGTCTAGGCCAGGATGCTACCTGTGTCAGGCCACTGGGCATAGAGGACCACATGTCCGCATCACAGCCGCCCGGTCTAGGCTTCACCCTGTGTGAGTGCGAGTCTCTGACTGCAAGCAGACAGATGCAGGCTGAGGGTGCAGCAAGGTGCAGTTCTTTGCCAATGGCACTGCAGTCCTCATTCTGAACAATTCAGAATGTTCTGGGTTTTCCTGTTTGTTTGTTTGTTTATTATTTTCTCTGTCATACTTGCTGCGGGAGAAACTCCAGCTCTTAGGGAGAAAGTGTAAGTATTCTTTCTCTCCAAGTCATGAGACTCGGTTTCATAATTCGGGGTTGTCTCATGGTAGCAAATTGTCTTCCACAGCAGTGGGAAGTGTTCCCGGCAGTGTTCAGCGTCTCAGCAGAGCTGACAGCCGGGCTTGAAGCAGGCGCAGGGCAAACAATCCTTGACAACCGAGAGAGGCAGAATCTGGGGCTAACTGCAGCCGCATCTGCACACACCAATTTTCAAGCCAAGAGGACGTCCCTAGCCTTCTGCTCAGTCCTGGCCTCCTAACAGGTGATGCCATCAGCTCTTGTCTGCCCATGATTTTATCAGCACCTTCCAGAAAGTTCTTCATTCAATTTGTTTTCTCATAGTCTGTAAGTCCTTGAAGCATAGACTAATGCTGTGGGATGGTCTGTATGTTAAAATGCTCTGATTGGTCAATAAATAAAACACTGATTGGCCAGTGGCTAGGCAGGAAGTATAGGCAGGACTAACAGAGAGGAGAAAAGAAAGAACAGGAAGGCAGAAGGAGACACTGCCAGCCTCCATGACAAAAAGCATGTGAAGATGCCGGTAAGCCATGAGCCACGTGGCAAGGTATCGGTTTATGGAAATGGATTAATTTAAGATATAAGAACAGTTAGCAAGAAGCCTGCCACGGCCATACAGTTTCTAAGCAATATAAGTCTCTGTGTTTACTTGGTTGGGTCTGAGAGGCTGTGGGACTGGCGGGTGACAAAGATTTGTCCTGACTGT